CGCCACGGGGGGCCTTTTTTTGATAAAAAAAGGAAACACCTCCCTCCGGGGGGGGGGGGTGGGGTCGCATGAAAAAAACAATGGCGTCAGGCAGAGGGGGGGGGGGGGGGGGGGGGGGGGGGGTGAGGGAAGGAAAAGGGGGGTGTTCAATAGTTTGAGCTTGGAGGCAAGCGCCCCGGGCGTCGTGACACTTTCGGGGGAGGGACGTTGTTTTCTATTATCTCGTTCTTCGTACGCCCAAAGAGGCGCCACTTGTCGGAGAACGAAACCAAATAGCTTCGCAGCAGCCGAGAGGAATCACATACTATCGTAATCGCAAGCAAGTGTCGGACAAAGGCATAAAAAACATATATAGATCAAAGATCAAGCATGACAAAGCAACGCAAAAGCACAGCAAAGGCCGTCAAAAACATCGTCGTCGCGAGCGCCAAAATTTCTCCTAGTTCCTTCCCACCTCCGGGGCCCCGGCGTAGCCGGTGACGAGGGCAGCGGTGCTCTCGTTGGGCTCGGGGGCCTCGGGGATGACCGAGCCGCCGTCTATGGCCTCCGCGACCACGATCTCGCCGGCCGTGGCGCCGTCACCCAGCCCCACGGTGAGGGACTCCGCCAGCGCAACGAGGTCAGTCTTGCGGGCCCGATGAAGTTTTTTTCGTCGAGAAAGGAGGGGGGGGGGCGTGAGCGTAAGTGTCTGGGGGTCTCTTCATGTAGAGGTGATGAAATTCGAACGTGAGACATTTGGTACCGTTTTGAGGAGTTGAACAACAGGTAAGAAGGCGATGCCGTCGGAGTAACGAGGTTTCCTGCGGACGTTCGTGTGGTGGTGGCAAAGTTTGGTTTTGTGTCGAATGTAGTACGTCGCGACACACAAAATTGGGTTGAAAAAAATGCTCTCAACTCTTTCTGGAAAAAAACAATTACGTGGGGAAAAATACAGGCCGCCGAACTATCTCCCTCACCTCGGTCATAACGTCTTCCCACGGGAGCTCGAAGTTGGTGGTGCTGTCCCAGTTGTTCGTGCTGTACCAGTCATCTTCATCGACTCGAACCGCGAGCAGAACAGAGAAAAAGGCGGCAGCCGGTCCCGGACAGGGTTGGTTGCGGCAGGGCGCGCGGAAAACAAGAAAGGACAGAGGTTAGGTTAGACTTTCGCATCGATCGCACTGATTTGTACAGACCGATCCACGATGATGGGTGGCAGAAAAACAAAACGGACAACAGAACACGAGAGCGCGGACCCCCGAAATACAAAAAAGCGGCGCACCACGCAGAAACGATTTGCGCGTGTGTCATTGGGGTACATCAAGCCCTCGGCAGGAAAGCGCTAGCATCCTATCGCATGTCACTGGAAAAGGGGGGCGCGCGCCTCAACTCATCGTCCGCCAGGCGCTCTTCGGGAACGCAGAGAGTCAAAAAGCAAGATTGCCGAAGCGCTCACACCTTCCACGAAGTCGTAGCTGAAGCTGTAGCTCGACTCGAAGCCGTCCGAGTAGTCCTGGACCTCGGGTGCGAACACCACGGTCGGCTGGAGGAAGGTTTTCTGCTCCGAGAATATGGCCGTGTTGCGAACACCGGAGAGACGGATCGTAAGGGGGGGTGGTTATGAATACAGCTGAGCGTGATGCGAAGCCTACATAGGTCATTTTCCTTAGGGTTAACCCTACACGCTCCTAGGTTACGCTACATGATTGTCCGCTTTCCCCCCGCATAATACGTCCGTTTGCATGTCCCCCCCCCCCCGCCCGCCCCCCCTCCCACAACGCCCGTGCACCTGGGTCTTGAGGTAGAGGGACTGCATGCCGGGCATGTCCTCGATGGCCAGAAGGATGTTGAAGGCCCCGAAGAAAAACCCGCCGCAGATCTCGTTGAGGGGGAAGAAGGTATACGTCTCCACGACCTCCTCGAGGGTGGCCAGGTCGTTGCCGTACTTGTCGGCCTCGATGTAGCAGAGCACCTTAAGGGGAAGAAGAGCGTACAGACAACAACAGCGCGAGCAACAGGGGAGGGCGGCGACGGACAGCATGAGGGCGATACGGCCGGCCCCAGAGGGGTTTTCTCGGTGTGCGTTCCGTTCGAGTCGACGACACACACACCCTACTATAGATATCATATCATGGAAGTACGAAAACCTCACAACATATTCATCTCTACCCACGAATGAGAGTCCGGGATACACTGTACCAACGCCACGGAACGACTCCCCGTTCAAGGAAATAATACCGCAGCCGCAGGGGATCATGTCCTTGCATTTGAGTGGGGGGCAAAACCGCCTGGATGCTGGCCTCTACTTGAGTCTGTATGTGCCCATACACGGAAGTATGCTCTGTACCTTCGCCCCGGCGTCCCTGACCGCGGCAGCCCTGTCGGTAGACTCGCCGGTCTCGGTGATCTCGACGTTCATAGCGACCATGATCCTGTCGCCGTAGTCCCCCGGGTCAGCGGTCGCCATGATGGCCTCCGTGTCTGCCAAAAAGAGAGAACACAAAAAAAATGGGAGCAGCACACGACAGGGGGACGAGAGCGACGTTGGTTTTCGCCGGCAGAAATCGCGTGTGGATGTGGAGAATTTGCGCACCTAAATACGTTGGCCTGCGCCCCGAACACGGTACAATAAAAACACCCCTTTTACCACAAAACACACGAGAAGCAGAAATGAAAAGGACCTCGGGTGTGTATACGCCGTGTCTTTCAATGATATGGTATCATCGACGGCGGTACGAAGAGACCTACCGGTGATAATTCTAAAGTTTTTATCTTCTTTTGCGAACAATACGGCAGTCTTCGCGGGGCGAAAACAAACAAACAAACGGAAGACAAACTCTTTATAAGCTTCGCCGAGCGAAGTCCCAAGGTAACTTGGCGTGGTATCACTCACCGGCGGCTTTGGATGCTCTGATATTTCCCCCCGACATTTTCTTGAAACAAATGAGAGCAAAAAAACGTTTACAGGTAAGTTGCCGTGTTACCACTCACCGGCGTCGTCGTTGCCAAGGAGGGGGGCGATGATCTTGAGGCCGCCGTCGCCGCAGGACTCCACGGTGGGGATGTTCCTCGAGGCTTCGATAAAGGCTGTCCAGAAGGTCGGCGGGTTGTCCCAAGGGTTGCCCTGTAGAGGAGAGGAGTTACACGGCACGGAAAATCGAAAAGTTATTTCATTGTAGCGGGTCAGTCGTCCGGGTTGTAAAGTTGGGCTGGGGACAAACACCCTGGGCAGCCGGCAAAGACAGCCAAAGGAGACGACACGAGGCCGGGAGTCGGACAATCTCACGGGACAGACGGACGGGCGGCGGGTTTTGATGCAAGGGCTGGGGACTACAGACACCCTTGCGTACACGGCCGACGAGAGGAACGATAACGACAACGGTAAGAACCGTGACTAATACAGCGACGACGAAGACGATGGCGGCGTCGACGAGTACAACAGGCGTCGACAAAAGAACAGCAAAGACTACCAAGTATACAAAAAAACAAAACGCACCTCGTCGAAGAGGTCGTCAGTCACGTACACCGTGCCCCAGCCCTTGCAGTAGGCCTTGTCCACGAAGGGTTGGATCAGCTGTCGTGGTTTGACGGCCGGAGAGAGAACGAGCAAGGAGGTGGTGGCGACGGGAAAGCGCGGGGAGGTTGTGATGGGACACCAAAAGAGAGGAGGCAGGAAACGCATACACGTTGCCGTACACTTACCAGATGTGATGAGACACGAAGAGAATGGGAAGGAAACAAACGTATTTACAACGACCTTTAGATGGGTGTGATATGCAGACGTACCTCAGGCTTCTCGGCCAGCTCGGTGGCGCTGTGCAGGAGAAGCATGTTTTGGGGCGGCGTGGAAATGTCGCTGGTTTCCGGCACTCCGAGCTGCCTCACGCTGCAAAAAAAAAATACACCCAACACGACCATGCACGGTCAGAGTTTTCGAAACACGGCGCACGAGCTGGTATGAAAAAAAACAATTTTTTGCCAACACAAAGGCGCAAGTGAGGGGCTCGTAGAGCAGCCTGCCGCAAGTAGACGCGCTTCTAGCAGCTACCGTACAGCACCGCACATCGCCAGATAAAACAAAACAAACCACGGCAACAAGAAGCAAGAGACGGGCCGCAACAAACGCCCAGTGGGCAAGCGAAAACGAACGACGACGGTAGTAGTCGCCCCCCCCCCCCTCCCCTCCCCCCCGGTGAAAGCGTGGGAATGGACCCCGCGAACTCACGCCTTGAAGTAGTTCTCGTAACCCAGGACCTCAGCCGGGGGCGAGAAGGAAAAGTACTGCTCGTCTGCCGCCTGGCCGGTGTTGAAGACGACGCGAGCTTCCTGCAAGGTGCAAGGCACCGCGGGAGAGAGATGGGGGGTGGGGGGTGGGCGGGGGGTTAAGAACTCGGCGAAGAAACAGACGGAACTACCCGGTTTAATACCACCAGCCAGGCCGGCCTCTCGAGGAGCGTGCCTCCGGAATCCCGTCCTACCCGAAGGCCTGCGAAACACGAGTATTTCCCCCCCCCCCCGCCTTTCGGCCGATGGTCTAATAGGAAGGCGTGCAGTAATGCTCTGCGTTTCGCGACAAAAAATGGCAAAAAAACAATCGTGACCCCCCCTTTCAAGGGGGTACCTGGGGCGGTGGGCGGGTGGGCTACCTCAAGGTACCTTTTCTTTTTCTTTCTCTTTGCGG